CCCCCAGGTCGCAGCCCCATCCCTCCCGGCAGCCACATCCCACGAGCTGACGCTTTGAGACCCGGGTTTTGCCAAGCAGCAAAATCAGTTTCCCAGCAAACGAGGCCCAACAGCCATGAGTGGTGTGGACTCTCTGATGTCTCGTAAAGGATTGGGGACACCCTGCAGCCTTCCCCTGGAGAGCAGCGATGGGCTCGCTCACTCATAGCTAGCTGTCACCATACCTAGAGAAACTCAATACCCTCAAGATATCCAAGCCCAGAAGTAAACACCTGGCCAGCAAACCCCTGGCAGCCCCTGGCCACACCACCCCAGGGCAGAGCAGCCCACAGGAGCCCTCCTCCACCAAACCCCACCATCTGTAGCTCGGGGACTGGCCTCTGCACCCCAGATCCCCACCGGGACTTCGGCACCATTCACAAGTACTGAGAGAGGCTGGAGGGATGCGGACATCTACCATGTACCTGATGAGACACCCCAGAGAGCCTTCTCCATGCTGCAACCACCGCTCACGTCTCTCTCCCTCCTTCCTTCCCAAATCTTTCCTCTTCCTCCTCCTCCTCCCTCAGCAAAATAACTCCTGCAGCCATGGAGGTGCCCAGGGACATCGCCAGGTCCTGCTCCAGTCAGAGCATTCCCGCGGGTTGTAGCCCCAGCCCACGGGATGCCAGCAGGGCTGAGGGGAGACAAACCTCCACGAAGGGGTCCTGCGATTCGGGAGCGGGCTGGGTCAATGCAGCACTGGGCACAGGGCAGGCTGGGGGAGTGCAGGGGTCCCCTGCAGCCGGGCTGCCGGAGCCAGGCGAGCACTGGCCCACAGCCCACAGTATGGCCCGCCCGGCTGCCGGTGGGCGATGCAGGCCCATCTCTGACGCATATCCCTTCCTTTGGGTGGTGGTTTTTGTTTTTCCCTTCCCCAGGAGCTCCGATAAACATTCCCGAGCCAGACGATATCCGGGCCGGTGCTGACCCTTGCGATGCCGGGAGCAGCCACAGCGCCAGCCACCCCGGCCCTCGTGCGGACCCCGGCACGCCGGAGCTGCTTCCCATGGCCAGGCACCAAGACACCGGCAAGCCAGCCTGGCTGGTGCAGTCAGAGCTGGAGACATGCTGTCAAAAGGGACCCCCCCGGCATCCCGGACCCCCCACACACAGTAAGCCAGCATCAGGCAGGCACAGCCCTCCTGGCTCCTCTACCCAGAAGGGATGTGGACCCCAAAAGAGGGGAGCGAGGCACCCTACTCCTTCCAGCCCCCAGGAAGCGGGTCCCCTGCCCAAACCACCCTGCAGGCTGGAAACGTGGTTGCCAAAGAGGATGGTGACTCAGTGGCCAGATCGGCGTCCCACAGGACGACACTGGGGTGGCACCGATGCCAGCTCAGCCCACGTCACCCCACAAGAAACCTCATGGGGTCCCACGTCACCCCATGGGAGACCTCTTCCTCCCTAGCAAGGTCGCCTGAGCTTTGTGCACCCACATCCCAGCTGGGCTCCGCATCACCTCCCCATGCACCCCACGGCTCTCTGCTCACCCCGAGACCCTGCCCCAGGCAAGGGGGAGTCCCAGGGACAGCCATGGGCCACGGCAACCCCCCAACTGGCCCCAGAGCCCTTGCCCTGCTCGCCAGCCCCTCCAGCCCTGCCGCAGCCACCAAGCCCTGCCGAACCCCCTCTTAGCCGCAGTGTGGGGCAGAGCGGGATCCCCGCTCTGGCACCCCACAGCAGAAGGCACTTTAAGGGGACAGGTTGGGGCCACCAAGTTGGGGACTTCGGGTAAGGTTTTCCCCTCTCCAGCACCCCTGTTCCCCGCTTCCTGGTGGGCCCAGCCACAGCATCCTTCCCCCCTGCCAGCCATAAGGGACTATAGGGTCCGGGCTCAGAGCGTGCCCCTCTGGCCACCCTCCTGCCCTGCACAGGGGTCAGGTCCTCCCTGCCCGCACCACATGCTGCCTGCTCCTGCCCTCACATTTCTCACAGCTCTGGCAAATCTCCTGTTTATGCAACAAGTCCCCAGTGAGAGGACGGCATGTTTCCATCCGCGCCCACTCCCCCCTCGCCCCAGCTCCACCCTGCCCGGCACAGCCCCGGTGTGCGAGGCACGGGGCGGCCTCGAGGAGCCCTGGCTCCCGGCACGGCGGTCCCAGGGAGGAGGCAGCACCCCGGCACCGTGCAGCCCCTCTCTGCCCCCACCAGCACTCAGGAGCTCTGCTGCTTTTGGGGTTTCTCCCCTCGGGTGGGGGTAACCAAGGGAAGTGGCTGTG